GATAACCATACTAACAGCAGAGAACGTCAGAAAGTTGTCCTCTGCTGTGTGTGAACTGGAGGAAGCCAGTCAGGAATCTAGTTTGGAGGATGATGAGTCTGTAGAAATCAAATCAACTTTATTTATACAGCAATGTCATACAAAAAATGCAACTCAAAGTGCGTCACAGATTAAAATGGCCCCATAGATCCCATATTCCCATCCCAGCCCCCCTCCCCAAGTATAAAACTATTAACAATTACACTTCCCCTCCCGCACCCAACTTCCAAAGTGGACACACACACACACACACACACACACACACACACACACACACACACACACACACACACGTGAACAACAGAGGAAACAATAGGCTGAGTTCAGATGGGTCAGGTAATGGACGACACATCATCAGTGGAGCCATCTGCCCTGACAGCAACAGATCCACGGCAGCAGCAGCCAAGAGACCAGCCCATCAAAAATGTCTGAAACATTAGACTCTTGAGATTTTCTCACTGTAAAAATTTCACTCTATTCTTACATACTGCACCTTTAAGAAAACCCTCAGCAATGGTTTCCTTCACTTTTAGTTCTATGAAACGATGGAGAGGTGTCTTCTGGTGGCTCAGTGTGCTCTAAAGTTGGATCACAGCAGCACTCCCAACCTAGACCAGCCATCTGTGCTGGGCTTGACTCCACAGCAGGTGATGGAGTTAATGCCGCCTGAGGAGGTAAGATACAGGACATTAGTTTGTTCTAGGGATGTAAGAAAATGTCGATTTAGTTGTTTGACACCCCCAATTATAATAAATGTCTACAGGTGAGATCAAACAAGACAGATGAGAATTGCCCTTAAGCTGTTTAACGTGGACCAAGCATTTTAGGTCACACACAGGTGTAGTTTAGGGTCTCTGTCTATACACCTTATCCTCCCTTGCTCATCCCCTTCCAAAGTATTCTGAAGGCTTCATTTCTGGTTTTTCATTTTTTGAAAAGTGAGGCAGAAAGAGGTGTTGTCTGGCGAACCGCATGGTACACATGGAAGGGGCTGGGTGGAGTCAACACCTCCTTACTTGCTAGGCATGTTGATATGCTTACATTTTTGCATTGCAATGCAACTTCTCTGAAGCTATAAGACATTTTAGGTGATAACATGTTGTTTCTCTGCTATTGAGCTGCTTTCTAATAACGTTGTGTTTAATAAAGTAAAGGAAGGAGAGAAAAAACGTTTCCCTAGCAGTTTTTAAAAATGTCCCCATGTAATCCGATTAATCGATTAATCGTGGCTAGACCCCATCCGATTAATCGATTATCCAAATGATCGTTTGTTGCAGCCCTAGTGAGGGGGTTATGCGGTGGTGAGCTGGGACGAGCACGTGCAGGGAGAGGAGTGTGCGCTGTGCCAAAGCTGTAGCGCATCAATAATCTGCGCTCCCACACAGGAGCAGTTCTCAGTTCTGGTCTTAACTGGACCACCGGATAACTTAGTTTTTTTTTTTCTTTACCAGTGTGTTGTTGATCTGCTGCTGTGTTTGGATCATGGTTCTATTTGATAGCTCAGTTTGGTCCAGACTTCATCTGTCAGACAGATGGACCAGCGTTGAACTCGAGAAGACTTTGGTCTACAGAGGAGTTCACGGTGGACTGATGGGGTTTTTCTAAAGCCTGATTTATGCTTCTCCGTCTGCGTCAGTGCGTAGACACGCAACGCCATTATCCGTCCTTGCGTAGGGCTCCGGCAGGCACACAAGTACGTACCAAGTCGAGCCCACTTTTTAAACATCCGTCGAACAAGACGGATTACGCAAGCTTGTGATTGGTCAGGACGCCGCTGTTGTCTACAGCGCCGCCATTGCAAAGAGAGCCGAGGATAACTAGCGGCAGACACGGAGAAGCTTGAAAAATACCTCGCGAAAAAACTCTAAAATTATGAACGTTTCATCCTCCCGTGACTGGAGGAGTGAAAAGATGCGCAGCAAGCGTTTTATTTGTGGACGGAAATGACTGGAAACGTGGGTTTAGAGGTGGGGAGCGCATGAAGAGGTGGGAGAATGAGAGACTAATATGTCTGTGTTAAAAGTCTCTTATATACACAAAAACACAATATAAACACACGATCTTGGACCGATACATGACAGGATACCACAGAACAGCGCTACGCCCTCTGGTGTCCTGGTGGGCAATTGCTTTGCAACACTCTCCAGGAGACGAAGAAGTATGAGAGCAAAACGCTTCCGTCAATCCGTGCGTGTCTGTCCCTTGCGGAGCTGACGGAGAAGCAAGAACCAGGCTTAACAGCACAGCTCATCCAGCATGGGTTAACACAGCTCAACTCAGGGTGCTTGGTTTTCCCTGCCAACCAACTCTAACTCAGGCAACTGCAGATCAGAGACGTTCTTTGATGCGTCGTTGATAAAAATGTCCGTGTCAGTGAGTCAGAGCGAGTTCTTGTCTGCAGTTTGTGGTTTTCAGGAAGTGTTTTTTATGTTGCCAAGTTGGGAGAAGCACGTTGGTTAGTATGTCCTTAAACACGTTAGTAATGTCCAACGTGTCACACGCTGCTCCTGTATGCTCCGGAGAAACAAACTGATGAAACTCCTGCTTTACTAGAGGAGCTGATGATGAAGGGGTAGTTGATACACCTGACCAGCAAATCCTGGCTCATGCGGAAACTCTTCGCTTTTATGAAGTGTTTGTTTGTTTGTTTATTTATTTATTTTCGGCCGCTTATCCAGGGTCGGGTCTTAGGGGCAGTAGCCTAAGCAGAGAGGCCCAGACTTCCCTCTCCCCAGACACTTGGGCCAGCTCCTCCAGGGGAATCCCAAGGCGTTCCCTGGCCAGCCGAGAGACATAGTCCCTCCAGCGTGTCCTGGGTCTTTAGGCCTCCTCCCGGTTGGACGTGCCTGGAAAACCTCACCAGGGAGGCGTCCAGGAGGCATCCTGACCAGATGTCTGAGCCACCTCAACTGGCTCCTCTCGATGTGGAGGAGCAGCGGGTCTACTCCGAGCCCCTCCTGGATGACAGAGCTTCTCACCCCAGTGAGAGCCCAGCCATCCTGCGGAGAAAACTCATTTCGGCCGCTTGCACCTGCGAGCTTGTTCTTTCAGCCGCTACCCAAAGCTCATGACCATAGGTGAGGGTAGGAACGTAAATGGAGAGCTTTGCCTTCTGGCTCGGCTCTCTTTTTACCACGTCAGATCGGTACAACGCCCGCGTCGCTGCAGATGCAGCACCAATCCACCTATCGGTCTCACGCTCCATCTTTCCCTCACTTGTGAACAAGACCCAGAGATACTTAAACTCCTCCCCTTTTATGAACTGAAACAGGCAAATGTTTTCCCCCACAGCTGTGCAGCACTTTGTGGAAATGACAGTTGTTCAGATAAGTCCTCGTTTATAGTCTTTGTGCTTGTGTTGTATTTGTCTTCCGTAGAATGTACAAAGAATGAAAGCTTCTCTTCCCAGACACGTGGAGAGACATCTGAAGGAAAAGTGTCTCAGCCTCCTCTCCTACTACCAGCCCGAATGGGGTAAAGCTGATTCATCTGTCACTTCCTGCCAAATAAAGGTTTAAATCGTTGACTCTGTTGACACGGTGACCAGGATGCTGTTTTGTCTCAGAACACGAGAGTGAAGGTCTGAAGAGCAACAAGCTGGTTCATCTATCGGGCTTGTTGAACGAGGAGAAGAGAAGATCAGAAACTCTGAAGGAGACGAGTCGGGAAAACACCGTCATGTTGCAACGACAGACCCAGCTCTACCTCTCTGTAGGTACTCATGAGTGTTTATGATTAGTCCTGTTGGTTCTGCGTCGTATGAGAAATCATAATCACACATTTACTGCATTTGTGAGAATGAACACTTTATCAGGTACACCATCATGTTAGTACCAGCTAGGAACTCTTCTGCTTTCAGAACCATCGTATCCGTGATGTGGCTCTCCTGTTCCACCACATCCCAAAGGTTCTGGGCTTGATTAAGGTCTGGTGACTATGGAGGCCAAAGGAGTCCATCGTCATGTTCTAGAAACTAGATTGAGATGGTCGGAGCTTTGTGACATGGTGCATTTTCCTGCTGGAAGCCGTCATCAGAAGATAGTTTCACTGTGATTAGATATTTTTAAGCAAGCAGTTGAACAGGTGTTCCTGCAGTGAACCCTACTCCCTGGTTTAGCGACTGCATTTGCAGCCTGAAGCACCAGTGCAGAAAAATTGAGCGTTTGTGGAAGAAAACCCATCTCCACGTCCATCTGCTGCACCTAAAGGATCTTCTGACATCCTTTAACTCTGCAGTCAGAGATGCGAGGGTTTCCTATTTCTCCAACCTGGTGTCCCAGAGCAAAGGGAACCCCAAGGTGCTGTTTAACACCATCAGCAGCATCGTCTCTCCTGCCTCTCCTACAGCCTCCATCCACTCTGTTGCAGACTGTGAGAACTTTCTGTCTTTCTTTGTGGACAAAGTCAATAAGGTTAGATCTAGCATCTCTCCTTCAGCCTTATCGCTGCCTCTCCCGACTCCAACCAGGCCCATCATCCTAGATAGCTTTGCTCCTGTTTCTTTGCCTGAGTTAACCAAACTAGTTAACTCTATGAAGACCTCTGCATGTCCCCTCCACATCTTACCCTCATCTTTGTTTAAAAGTGCTTTTCAGTCCATCGGTCCCAGCGTGCTCTCTATAATTAATGCTTCTCTGGTGTCTGATCAGGTTCCTGCTTACTTTAAGAACGCTGTAATCCACCCGCTTCTTAAAAAACCGAGTCTCGACCCTTCTCTCCATAGCAGCTTCAGACCCAGATCTAAACTTCCGTTCATCTCCAAGATCTTGGAAAAGGTTGTGGCTAAACAACTCACAGCTGCTCTTGATGAACATAACATCTATGATAGCTTCCAGTCAGGTTTTCGTAGAGCTCATTCTACTGAAACAGCTCTTCTTAGGGTCTCTAATGACCTTCTGACTCACAGTGATGCAGGGGACTGTTCTGTTCTGGTCCTGCTGGACCTGACTGCAGCCTTTGACACTGTTGACCATCACCAGCTACTGGAGAGGCTGAGAGACTGGGTGGGCCTATCAGGATCTGCTCTGGAGTGGTTCTCCTCTTATCTCTCTGAGCGCTCCTTTTCTGTGGCCGTCTCCAAGTTTAGGTCCTCCACCACCTCCCTTACCCATGGTGTCCCACAAGGTTCTGTGCTGGGGCCTCTACTCTTCTTCCTCTATCTGCTTCCTCTTCAGCACATCCTGAGCTCCTTCAAAGGAATCTCCTACCATCTTTAAGCAGATGACATCCAACTGTACATCTCCTTTAAGCCCCATGAGATGTCTAAGCTGCAGCTGTTACACACCTGCTTAGACTCTATCAAAACCTGGATGGTGGGAGCTTTCTTCAGCTGAATGAAGATAAGACTGAGATCCTCATCTGTGCCCCAGACAAGCTGGTTCCCAAAGTCAGAGACTCTCTTGGTCAGCTTGCTTCTCACACCACACTGGCAGGAATCTTGGCGTGACCTTTGACCCAGCTCTCACCCTGGATTCTCATGTCAGTTCTCTTGTTGGCTCCTCCTTCTTCCATCTCAGGAACGTTGCTAAGCTGAGTCTCATTCTGTCCCGCTCTGAACGCTGTACCAACCTTACGTGTTGTTGGAGCTGGATACTGTTAGAAAATCTATATAACAAAAGAAGAAACGACAGACGTTCGTTGATCTACAGCCTGAATTTGAAGCCATATAGAAGTTATGTGTGCTTCTAGACTTGTGTTTATTATGTTTTTATTTATTTTTACTAACCAGGAGATGATGAAGTGCCTTCAGCTTCTCCAGACTCTCATCTTGGACCACCGGTTGAAGATCCAGACAGACCTGGACAAGAAGAAATTAGATTACTTTGAAAGCAAATGTGAATTAGTCTTACAGAAAATAAAGTGAGTACTTTCCCTTCTTTTTACGTTTCCCCTTTCAGAGATATTTGACAGGAAAATACGTCAAATAAAGTCCAGTTATTAGATTTGTTTTCCTGGGAGCTAAAAATGTTTGACATGTTTTTGTTTAAATAAGAATCTGCATGAGTTCAGTAAACAGACTGACAATAACATGCAACAGCACCAATCAACAAAAACAGTATGACCACCGGCACATGTGGTGAGACGGACTCTCACTCATTCATCACATCACTGTTCAAAGTAAATGAAGGATTATCCGACCTGATGTTCCGAGCCTTTAATTCAATTCAAATTCAATTCAAAAATACTTTATTAATCCCAGAGGGAAACTGATTGCTGTAGTAGCTCAGAATAATAATAATAATCAAGTCATCAGAGAGTTGTTGTATATTACAATGGCTGTTGGCAGGAAGGATCTCCAGTAGCGGTCAGTGTTGCAGCCAAACTGAAGAAGCCTCTGACTGAAGACACTCTTCCGTTGTCGGACAGTCTTGTGAAGAGAATGCTCAGGGTTGTCCATCATTTTCTTGATTCTCTGGAGAATCCTTCTTTGCATCATCTCCTCCAGCGGTTCTGAAACTGCCGAAACTCTGGCTGAGTCCTTGAACGGGCTTGGAGTTCCTCCATCTTGTTGGCCAGTGATCTCAAATTGCCCATAATGATCGATGGAAGAGATGGTTTGAATTTCCTCTTTCTCTGTCTCCGTTTTGCTCCCGCTCTGCACCCACGCTTCTTGCGTTTTAGCTCATTTGGGATTTGTGGCTTCAGTTGAGGTATTATTTCAGCCTTTCCAACGTTAATCAGCTGCTCCCGATTGTAAACCAGCTTGTTGCCATGGTTACACATCATAACAAAATGCTCAAAAAGTGAGATAACCTAAAAAAAATAGCAGTAAAAATCCTCCAAGCTTCACAGCACCAGAAACAGAAAAGTAAAATGTCCAACAAATACAGTTTTTCTTGAGAAACTAGAAGCAAAAAGGCCAAAGAAAAGGCAAAACTTACATATAGTCAACAGAGCTACTCCAACATGCAGCCGCCCAGAGCAGCGCCGTTCCGGAAAAATGCAGTGGCTCGAGAAAATAAAATAATTGTATTCTCGACTTATAGTCATTACTAGTGGATCAGCAGCGACTCCTGTGATTGAGACGTCCCACAGGTGTTCAAGGTATCCGCGAGTCCTTAAAAAGTCTTAAATATGCTTTTCCAGGTTTAAGGCCTTAAAAATGACAAAATATCCTTAAATACAGTTTCCAGAAGTCTTAAATTACCAAAGACCCAATAAACAAGATTCTTTTATTTCTATAAAATTTTCATGAATTTCTAGTTGGTGTTCAGCATTTTTTGTATACGATGTTGGCGTAAGCGGAACCGTACACGTTCAGCTGGTTGAAAGGGGGCTATTTTTAGATGAGCACGTTAGCTGGTTAAGCTAGTGGGAGCTTGCGCCATGGGGAAGTGCAGTTTTAATGGTAACTGGATGGCTAATCCCACGTTTGCGACGTGGTTAGCACCGGTTCCAGGCAATAGCTGGAAATTAGTTTAAATTTAATTAAACCCAAAAAAAAGCCAAAATTTGGTCAAAGTGGCCTTAAAAAAGGTCTTAAAAGTCTTAAATTTGGCTCCTTTAAACCTGCAGATACCCTGTTACAGATATGAGGGTGAGGAGTTCTGGAGGTCGCGGTGGTGAATGGGTTGGTGTGTTTTTATACTTCTGTCTGTCGCAGAACGATGAAGGGTGTAGCTTGGTCCATCCTGTGAATCTGAAACTAAATAAACGCTGCTAGTAGTTGCTCTGGTCAGCATGGTCATCCCCAGTGATGTGGAAGCACCAAGTTGTGGAGAGGCGAGCGGACGCTGCTGTCCACTTCCATCCTGCCGTGGACAGCAGCGTTGACATTCTGGAAAGAGGAGGTTGGCGGTTTGAAGGAGGAGAAAAGCAGGCATCGTTGTCCAAAGAGAAGAAAACACAGTCAACAGAAAACTATTTCTCAGGTTGTCCGGTTGTTGTGATCTAGTTGGTGTCAAAGACAGACGGGACCTGTCGACTGATGCGGTATTTAATCATGAACGTTATGCTTCCATGTCATGTTTCTTCTTCCTTTAAAGAACTGAAATGGTGGAAATTCAGCTGGACACCTACACCACCGAGACCATTTCTACTCACAGAAAGATAAGGTAAGAAATGTTCTCTTCTGCTACCGTGCTGTTTTATAACCAGCAGCACTTTCCACAAATAACAGTTTTAACTATTTCTGTGACAGGGAGAAGCTGGGATCCGAGCTGAAGGCCGGTAAAGAGGAGAAGCAGGCCGCTGAGTTGAGTCTGTCATCCTTTGAGATTTTGGGAAGAGAATTCCAGACGCTGGCTGATGAGTACTGCAGACTACGGCAGGAGATAGACATGAAGACGTGGGCTCTGAAGGAGCTGACCCAGAACAATGATGCATAAACACATGCTAGCCTCGATATCTGCAGCTAAACCATGTGGGAACTTTTGACCACAAGAATTATAGATTGTACAGTATTGTGACTTCTACCTTAGAATAAATCCAGTATTAATAAAGGACCCATGTGTTTGTTTCTATACCATGGTAACTATAGGAGCCATGGCTGACCTGTGACTAGAAGGTGGGACCTGCAGGCCACATGTCAGAGTTCTTCCAAAAGACAGCAGCCTGCTCGGGGGATGGGATGGGTAACATACAGAGAAATTTCCCCAGGATGATTAGTGAAACAGCATTTTTAAAAACGTTACGTATCTTCTGCATTTATCAGTATAAAAACAGATTTTTACTCATAATCACCAGTGTTCTGAAGCTCAAAGTTCAGGATTTATCTCTGAAATAGCTTTTAGTTTTCACCCAGCTGCTGTTGGAGTCTGGATGGCTGTTGGGAAGTGAAAGCAGGTGTGTTGTTACCATAGTCACCCTAATGAATCATAAAATCATACGTAAACATTTGTAGAATTTCAAGTGGGAGCTACATTTAAATCTCTTCATTGGTATTTTCGTTCTTTACACGAATGTAAACTTGGGCTGCCTTTGTGCAGTTTGCGTAACAATCCACTAGATGGCAGTGTGCAAACAACTTTTGGTTTATTAGTTCCTAATCAGTTTGTTTAGTATTATAACCTAACAAGCAGCCTCCGCCATCACTCGTGTGTAATCGAAGCTTTCAGCAGAGTCAGTCCGTAAAAATGACTTATGTTATTCTCTTTCACATCCTTTCCCATTGACGAGCTTTGTCATAGACGTCCTCTTTGCCGAGAACCGGAAGTGAGTGAGAGTGAAGCATCTCGCGATGTTAGCGCTCTTTGGTCTCGTCTCGAGAACCGGAAGTGAGTGAGAGTGAAGCATCTCGCGATGTTAGCGCTCTTTGGTCTCGTCTCGTCTCCACATCGACACCATCCGCATCAGCAGCTGCTGCAGCTGCGGCCCCGCCTCGGCTCACATCTGTCAGCCAGCACACCGAACCGCTGCTCGGGCCACCGGAGCGGCATGCCCACACTCACAGCGGCTCCAGAGAAGTGGTTCTTAGTCGGAGGGGCGCCATGTCGGAGGTTCGGAAATTCACCAAGCGGTTGAGTAAACCAGGGACGGCGGCTGAAGTCCGGCAGAGCGTGTCGGAAGCGGTGAAGAGTACCGTGGAGCTTGTGGTGAGCGAGTCTGCTTAGTTAACGGAATAGAAACTAGCTAGTTAGCCTGCTAACTCACCTTCTTCTGCTTTCACGGGGAAAACGAGCTAGATTTACTTCCTCTGCATGTCATGTCGAAGATGAGCGCATCACTGCGGGTTTTATTCTCCGTGGAGCCGAGCTCCGCATCCCCGGCTTGCTGCTGCGTGCTCTGCCTGCGTGACTGACGGTCCCTGGCTCACATGGTCTTCTTTTGTGTACTGGCGGATTGGACAGCTGCAGCGTGGCTCCTGTCTCAGTCCTGCTCAGAATCCACACACAGCTCAGAGGAAGTCTACTCTGGGTCTGCTGGTGCGGAGGCACTGGGAGGCTGTGGAACTGGTGGTGTCCCATCATGTGATTGGGATTAGATGCAGTGGCGTGTGTGTGTGTGTGTGTGTGTGTGTGTGTGTGTGTGTGTGTGTGTGTGTGTGTGTGTGTGTGTACACATTCTAACTTGTTTCAGTGACTTTAACACATCTTTGGGTATTGCTGGTAGGACTGGGTTAGCTTAGTTTAATCTCAAGTCTCATGATCTCTAGAGTGACGCACTCGGCGTCCCAGTGCAACAACCTTGTGATGGGGATGAGTTTGTTTCTGTTTTTGCAGCCACGCAGGACATTTGTGTGTCTGTGCTCTGCAGATGCGGGGTTGCTGCTCATTTCCATCCATCTATCTTCTGAACCCGCTTTGCCCACGCTGGGTTGGGGGGGTGGGGGTGGGGGGGGGGGGGGGTGCCTGGTGCCTATCTCCAGCGGTCAATGGGCAGTTAGGCGGGGTAGAGAGCCAGTCCATCGCAGGGCAACACAGAGACACACAGGACAATCATGCACACACACACACCTAAGGACTATTTAGACAGACCAATCAACCTAACAGTCATGTTTTTGGACTGTGGGAGGAAGCCGGAGAACCCGGCAACATGCAAACTCCATGCAGAAAGATCCCAGGCCGGGAAGCGAACCCAGGACCTTCTCGCTGCAAGGCAACAGCTCTAACCACTGCACCACTGTGCAGCACTGCTCATTTCCTGTTTGGAAACAATCCCTATTTTGTGAAGGGTGGCAGACCCATGCTGCTTTCACATGCGGGACTCCCTCAGGCAATTTCTTCATCTCTGATTTTGCTTTCATATCCCAAATATTTGATTTATTTAATCAGAGAGTTTGCATCAAGTATCCGAGGGTCTCCAGCTATGCCTCCTTGGGAAAGTCTGTCTTTGACCAATTGTTGACCCTCATCCAGGCTTTCATGCTGTTAGAGCAGATCTTCTCCTTTCCTGAGTGTTTGAGGTGATGTTAGGAATGTGGTTCTCTGCTCCACTCGTGTTAATATTATTAATCTGACCCTTTTCTTACAGTTTGTGTTGATGGATTAAGAGGCAGACGTTGTTTTTGTTTTCGTTTTGAAAAAGGAAATGACCATTTGAAATGAAAGTTTTGGGAAGTGTTACGTCCTCTGTTGGTGGATGAGGAGAAGGACGGGGAGTAACGCAGAGGCAAGTGTTTCAGGTGTGGAAATTGTAAACGTTGAATTTATTAAAAGGATTTTAAAATGACAAAAAGCTCCAAATCTAAAGTACTTAAAACACATTGTTAAAATGGCCAAGGGTTTACGTTTAAAACAGACATCCGAATGCTCCCAAATATTCACAATCAAAGTCCACTGACTTACATGCAAGTTTGGGAGCCAAGAGGAAACCAGCACTCTGGTCCCTCGTCTGTTAAAACCCTCTAAAAGCTCTTAAGCTTCACTAAGCTGAAAGAACTAAAACCCATTTAAAAGCCATTAAAACACAAACAGATCCAGTCTCTCCCTTTTATGCTGCTCAGGAGGTGATCAGCCCAGGTGAGTGTGCAGGTAGGAGGAGGAGGAGGCAATGCACTGATATCCTCTGCAGAGTCAGCTTTCTGGGACAAAACAGCAACAGCTGTAACAGAAGTAAAAGAATGAAACATTTCTGTTGACAACTCAGAAACACTGCCGTGTTAGTCTCCTGTGTGGGACAGATGTGGCGACTAGGGCTGCAACAAACAATCATTTGGATAATCGATGAATCGGATGGGGTCTCGACACGATTAATCGATTAATCGGATTACATGGGGACAGTTTTAAAAACTGCTAGGGAAACGTTTTTTCTCTCCTTCCTTCACTTTATTAAACATAACATTATTAGAAAGCAGCTCAATAGCAGAGAAACAACATGTTATCACCTAAAATGTCTTATAGCTTCAGAGAAGTTGCATTGCAATGCAAAAATGTAAGCATATCAACATGCATAGCAAGTAAGGAAGTGTTGACTCCACCCAGCCCCTTCCATGTGTACCATGCGGTTCGCCAGACAACACCTCTTTCTGCCTCACTTTTCAAAAAATGAAAAACCAGAAATGAAGCCTTCAGAATACTTTGGAAGGGGATGAGCAAGGGAGGATAAGGTGTATAGACAGAGAACCTAAGCTACACCTGTGTGTGACCTAAAACGCTTGGTCCACGTTAAACAGCTTAAGGGCAATTCTCATCTGTCTTGTTTGATCTCACCTGTAGACATTTATTATAATTGGGGATGTCAAACAACTAATTTTTAAATGTAATTAAACATAGGCTGTGAATTAATCAAAATTAATCACTATTTCCAAAAATGACTGAAAAAATACCAAATAAAACAAAAAATAATGGATGCCGCCCTCCTTGTGATGATGCCCTGGACAACCGCCATAAAGTCGCATCAAGAAATGCTGCTGATCATTCCAATGATCCCAAATAGACTCACATTAGGCCACATGAAAGCAACTGAACCCAAAAACACATTAACCAGTATATAACTGCACTCTCACACAACACGCCTGCAGCAACAGTTAGGACTCCTCCCTCCCTTTTAAAAGCGTTTTCGCTCATCAAAGGGGGGGGGGGGTAGAAGAGTTGTGCGACACAACGAATCGATGACGCAATTCGGTGCCAACACTTTTAATAATCGATTTTTATCGATTTTATCGATTAGTTGTTGCAGCCCTAGTGGCGACGTGTTGTTCCCGCCTTTGCTATGTTGCTGTACTGAATGTTATTCGTGAGTGTTTTAACCGTTGGCTCTCTCTGCTGCACTAGTGTGTCTATCTTGATTAAAACGACTTTAATTTGGAGTTAGTTTAATAGTGTGAATCAGGTCCTTCACATAAAGCCAGCCCAGTATAACCACGGGTTCTAATCAGTGACAACAGCCTGGTTAGTCTGTCAAGTAAAAGTCTCTCAAACTCAACATCTGTTTACCTCCAAGAGCCTTCTGAGACAAACCCCACTAACCACAGAGGGGTAGTGTAGCCAGGGTTGTCAGTGCCTTACCTTCTGTAGACGACAGTCAGAGCTGTTGCAGGTTGCCATACGCGAGTTGAACTGATGGCTAATCTGGCAGGAGCATAACTTGTTAAATGTATGACACAAAGGACTAAGTTGAAGGCAGAAGGGGTCCAGCTGTACCCAATAAAGGGGCAGATGAAGGAGAACCAGGAAGCTGAAGAATAAACTCCATCTCTGAGTCTCCCAGTCTGACACAGCCCAGTTCTGATCAGAATAAATCAGCTGCAGGAAGCCTCACACTTCTTCCTCACATCTTTTGTGGGAAAGCTACAAAACAAAACATGAGATTTGCAAATTAGCGTCTACACAGCATTGTAGAAAAGAGGTCAATGCTATTTTCTTCATTCTCTTGTCTTATTCCTGCTCTTCTGTTTATTTCTTCCTTAAATATTATTAGAACCTTTCTTTAACCTAAAACTGGATTTCTGATGATAATGAACCAAAACTCTTAAGGGTGGAACCAGAAAACGTCTCTTCAGCATGCTAGCATGTTAGCTAACTCTCCAGTCAGAGAGGAGGGTCAGAGACCAGGAAGATTTGTTTGGTTTCTACAGCAGCATTCTTGTTTCAGCTGTAATATCAGTCTGTGTTTAGGAATAAACATTAATAAAGTCTCATTTGGCTTCACCGTCAAGGAAACAGCAGCGGTTGCATGCAGCTAACGTTAGCTGGCTAGGAGGTGCTGCTGGTGGACACAAATACAGTACAGCAAATAGGGATGGGTACCTTTGACATTTGAATCGATTCGGTATCAATTCCCGGTACCTAGGAATCGATACCGGTACTTAACGGTACCAATTTTCGATACTTTTGAGTGTTTAATATTTTAATTCCCTTCTATAATAAAATATATATTTTTCTCAATATATAACCATATTTGATAAATATCACGATAAATAACATACAACTGTTTGAATTTTAACATCGTCCTTGTAGTTTTATAAGCTGATAATTAAACTGAAGCAAACATCTTTACTGTGAACTAAATTTACTGTGTATCTTCATTCCTTTTGCTGTCTTTTTTACTTTGTTTTTTCCTACTGGGAAGTTAGAATTTCCGAAGAGAAAGCGAACGCACCATTAGCTGATAACAATGGCGGCAATGGAAGCTAACATATCAAGCTAACGTTATCTTAAACAGTTTATTTAGCTGCTGGAGCAGATTAAAACGATGATGCCTCACACTTAGATCGTTGTGGCTGGTTTCATCTTCACCCAATCACCCGTCGCATTTAGTAAAGTGAAGCCAAACTTTAGAGCACGTTCATGTTCTTCTAGTCGGAAATTCTGTGTTCCGAATAGAAAGCGAACGCACCATTAGTGAAACGGAAGCTAACAAATCAAGCTAACGTTATCTTAAACATTTTATTTACCTACCGGAGCAGATTAAGATGAGGATGTCTCACTTAGATCGTTGTCGCTGATTTCATCATCACCCAGGTACCCATCACATTTAGTGAAGTGGACCCAAGCTTTAGCGTGCGTTCTTTCTACCATGCTGCTCTGTTTACAACTGGCTCGCAGCGACTGACAACATTACGCTCTTGCGCAGCTGTCTTGGCAAGTTCTCGTTATGAAGGACGGGTACCGAAACGAGGCACCATTTCAAATGATGTGAATTGGTGCTCGGT